AGAAGGGACCTTGGAGGTCCTCTAGTTCAGGGGTCCCCAACCTTTCTGGGTTGATGGCCTGGTGGGAAGGGGGAGGGGCAGGCACCTTTATGCACACATGCGCACACACACAAATGGGGCCGTGAGCGGTGGTGGGATTCAGATATGTGAACAACCGGTTCTCTGTGTGGATGCTGCTTCCAGAAGTCCATTCTGGGCCCAGGCAACAAAAAATTAGCTACCGGTTCTGCCGAACTGGTGCGAACTGGCTGAATCCCACCACTGGCCGTGAGCATGCGTGCTCTGCAAATGGGGCTGCTAGAATCGGCACGAGGCTAACGCCAGCACGAGGTTTGTGGCGAGACTAGCACTGCTGCAAGGGTGTGTGTGCACATGCACATGTACACGTGCACTGGCCAGCCACTCACGTGGCATGGTGGCCAAGAGGCCACGGCCCGGTAGTGGGCCGCAGCCCATAGATTGGGGACCTCTGCTCTAGTTCAACCCACTGCTCAAGGCAGTTTCTGCTTAGTTGGGTAAAGACAACTGGCGCCTCTCCAAAAAAGAGAGGCTGCTCTTGGGGCATCTGCTGCTCCCCATCAGCCCCTCCTGCTTCTCAGGGTTTAATCTCCGTGTCTCCGTCCAGTCTGTCCCTGCCTCTTGACCGGGGCTCTGGCTGCATCTCATTCTGGAGAGAGACCAGATTAGGGAGCCTCCGCAGCCCCAAATTCCTGTTGACCTTGCAAGCCAATTAGGAGATAAAGGAGCCAGAGGGATTAAGGAGGTGGGAGGCGGGCACCGAAGAGCCAAAGGAAGCAGGAGAAATTGTTGTCTCCCTTCTTCCTCTTATCTGCCACCTTCCTGCAGGAACCAGCTCTGGAACCTGTTTGAAGGGCTGAGGTCATCATTTCCCTTCAAGGAAGTTCGGGATTGCGCACAACCTCCCACTCCGCCACTTCCCAGGAAAGGCTGGCTGCAATTGGCCAAATTATTATTAATTTCCCAAGATCAAGATAATTTGCTTTGGAGTAGCCTCATAACCGGCATCTAGGTGGAGAGAATGTCCCAGTCATCCACCTCCAAGTGCCGCCATAACAAGGGAAGCTTTGTGAGAGTGCAGCTGCGCGGATTCTTGGCTGGGCCACGCCTGAGTTCGAGAACCTGTCCCCAAGGGAAGCTCCCAGCCGCCACCCCCGCCCCCACCCCCCGGGCTCCCCAGGCCCTCCAGGTCCCCTCCCATGGGGACTCCCTCTTGGGAGGGGGGAGACCTGTCAGCTGATCCCCCTGCCTTGAACCCAGGTGCCCGTGGGAGACCCAGAGGAGGGGGCCCTCTGTGCTCAGCCTTGGCCTTCTGCTCTTCCCGAGCAGAGCCTCTTGTCTCTGGCCTCCCTTCGGTCTTCTCTGTCCCTGGCCCAGGAGAGACAGGCTTCTCACTCTAGAGCTTTGCCTCCTGTCCCCCCAGACTCTGCCAGTCCCCGACTGCTGGTTCTCTTCTCAGGTGGCCTCTCAAGGCCAGAGGCCCCCTCCTTTCCCCCGCTCAGGGCTCCCAGGCCTGGTCTCCCCGGGCTGAGCTTGCCTGCACCAAACAGAGGGGCCATATAGGTATCCTTCTCCAAACATTCCCCCCCCACACACCGCTGTTCTTGTTCCCAGTAATTGAAATTGATTGAAATCCAAGCCAGGCGAGGGGGCTCCTAGTCCCGAGGGCAGGCTGAAGGGCCCCTCCCAGAGGGAGAGGCTGGCCTTGGGAAAGCCTACAGCCTCAAGCAGGAGCCTTTTCTTCAGGGCAAAGATGAAGCTGCCATCCAACTTTTATAGTTGTCTTTTAATTGCTCCCCCCTTCCCCCACCACCACAAAGGAGGTGCAAGCACAGTTATAAATTTGCACCGTCACAGCCACTAATGAAAAGCAACCACTCCTTGGCTGCTCTGACGCCACCAAATCACCTCTCAGCTAATCCTGGAGATGCTCTAAAACCATGGCCGGTATTAGCCGGGGCTGCTCTGTCGATTCCCCTTTGGCGGCTGGCAATTCAGGTGGGCGACACTCCCTGCCTGTCCTTTGCTGCTGATTCAAGGACTGAGTCCCTTGCATCCCCCCTACTCACATCCTAATTTATTCCAAGGGGGGAAAATGTCCCTCTCTTCTGGGCTGCGCTGAACGTGAGTCCCGTGTCCACTTCTGGACACCCCACTTTCAGGGGGACATGGAGAAGCTGGAGCGGATTCATCCTAACCCTAATCTTGTCATTGTGCTGCTCCTTATGGGTGATGGAGGGCCAGGCACTTTCTGACACTGCAGCCAGTTCACCAGCAGCACCCACATTTGGAGCCCCGGCCGTAAAGATGGCAGGTCCATTGGCCAATGGATGAGGGTCCCCACCTGCCACCACCGTCCAAAACCCGGGTTGATGATGGAGAGCCTGCAGCGGCCAAGCGGTCCTCAGCATCCCAGAGGAATGAAGTGGTCTCTGGAAGGCTGGCAGCAGCCACCCTGGTCTCTCCCTGGCCAGAAACTCACTTCCTGCTGCTCCTTGTCCTCCAGATGTTGGAGGGAGTATGGTGTGACCTTTGCCTCTGTCCACAGGTCTCCCTCTGCCTGAGAGCTGATGCCCAGAAAGAATGTGCCTGAGCACCAGAACTGCCTCCCGTGGAGAGTTTACTGACTTTGCTGCCTGGAGAAGAAGTGACCCACACATGGAGGGCCTGGCTTTGCCTCGGGGAGACCAAGGACTGGACACACTCAGCGTAGGACGCTCCATTTTGCAACTTGTCATCTGGAGCTTTAAAGAGGTCAGTTTTGTGTTTGGTTTTGCACGGACTTTTATGGGGGCTCAGACTCACTGTAACGGGGGGGGGAGGGATGAGAAGTGGACTAGGCTACATTTTGCAGGTGGTCCCTGCATTTTTGTTAGCATGCCTGGCTCCCCTTTTTAGGCAGTGGGTGAGGCACCCGGAGGAGGGCTTTTGTTTCCAAATAGAACATAGGTTCCATAGGGCTGGAAGGGACCTCGGAGGTTTTGTAGTCTAACCTCCTGCTCAAGGCAGGATGCCTTGTACAGTCCTGGCCAAGTGGTTGTCCCCTCTGTTCTTGAAAACCTCCAGCGATGGAGCCCCCACAGCCCCAGGAGCAAAGCTGTTCCATTGATAAATTGTTCTCGCTGACAGAAAAGTCCTCCTTCCTTCTAGGCCGGATCTGTCTTCAACAAGCTTCCACTCCTTACTTCTTGTCCTGCCCTCTGGGGTTTTGGAGAATGGGTCAACAACCCCTCTTCTTTTTGACAGCCCCTCATCTACTGCAGGACAGTTCTCAATTATTCTCTTCCGTAGGCCGCTAGACACGCCTTGTTCCCTCAACCGTTCCTCTCTTTAGCCTCCGGACCCTTTATTATCCTCCTTGCCCTTCTCTGCACAGGTTTTAGGGTCTCAGTCTTTTTTTTTTTTTCTCTGTATCGTGGTGACCAAAACTGGATGCAGTATGTCAAGTGTGGCCTTTCCACTGCAGTATGAAGCAGTACCATCACTTCCAGGACAAGAGAAGCACACCAGCTTGCATCAGGATTATTTATTTATATTATCTATCAGATTTATAAGGCTGCCAAATTCCATGGTAAATCTGAGCAGGGTGCGCGCTAGAGGAAACCTGCACGGCCCACGTTAGGAGAAAGAGCAGCGATGCCAGCGCCATAAACCTGCCACCTAAGATGTCGTTAAGGGGTCCGTCCCTCCTCCTGGCCAAAGCTGAAGAAGGGGGGGCATGTTTTAAGGACTCTTTGAACAAGGGCAGGGGAGGGGCTGTACATATCTCTGAGGAGGGGGGATTGCTGTGCCGGAGGACTGGAGCTGGTGCGCATCTGGCTCCCTCCGCAGGGGCCATACCGTTCTCCTCCGGTTTCCCCCTCCTTGGAATTGGGGGCAACGGTGCTTTTAGCATCTGCCCGTTCCCCTCCCCACCCCTGCTGGCAAATTAAGGAAACCCCGTTCCGTTCCCAGGGTGTGTATGTGTACGTACCGTGGTCAGGCCTTGGTACAAGCGGTGCATCATAACAAATTGTATACATGCACACACACACACACACACACACACACACAGAGAGAGAGAGAGAGAGAGAGAGAGAGAGAGAGAGAGAGAGAGAGAGAGAATATCACCCCACAGCAGACCCGTGTTGGCGCAAACACACACTCAACTCGGCCCCTGCCCCAGATGGGTGGCTTTTCTTCTTTCGTGTCTCTGCTTTCTTTAAACCGAGTCTGCCCGGTTTCCCTCTTGACTGAAAGCCACAAAATGCTTCACCCCCAGGATCTTTAGAAGACTGAGAGAAGCTGGATAAGACATCATGGAACCATTGGTGCAGTCCTGGGGCCCTCTCCTTATTATAATTTAATAAAAATAGATTAATTTATAATATAAATAAAGGTGGGATAAAAATCTAATAAATAATTTAGCTTATACTTATCTACCCAAGCAGCTTTTTAAGGTCTAAGTGTTCTAATGACCTTTATTTGCTGCTTATTTCCTATTTCTTGTATTTAGTGATCTTTTTATTGCATTTTTGTCAGCCCTTCGGAGGGTTCGGGACAGGAGCTACGAGGTCTTCTTCTAAACGCCTCAGAGTCGGGCGCAGCTGAAGCTTTAAGGGCCCCCACTGGAGAAAATGAGAAAACTGGGCGCCATCCGGGTCTGATCCACGAGGACCGTTTGGGGGTTCAGGATGAAAGGGGGGGTTGGTCACGCTTGAAGAGGGAGCTGTGGGGGGGGGTGAGGAGAAGCCTTCCCATCACCGGCATCACCATCATCAGAGTGCGACTGGCCCACTGAGGCAGCCCTGCCTGGGGGGGATGGGAACTTACTGGCAAGAGCAGGAAAGAAGCCAGCTGGATCTGCCCCTTCCTGGGTTTCTTACCCTCAAGCCCTTCGCAAAGCTGCAGAGACCCTCCGGAGGGGAGGGGGAGGTTTGCTGGGAAGAGCCCCGGAATCAATGAGGAGCCAAGACTTTTCAGGTGCAGGGAAAAAACGTTTATTCGGTGTATTCAGACAAAAGGGCACCGGAAGCCTCTCCCTTCGCAGCACAGCCGCCTCCTCCCCCCTCGCGGATCAGTTGGGGGCCACCGTGATGGTCTCGAAGGCCTTGACGTCCTGGAATTTGTCGCAGAAGAAGTTGACGAGCAGCTGCTTGGTGCCGTCCTTGCTGGGGCTGATCTCAAAGTGCATCTGCGAGGTCTGCTGGGCCTTTAAGGGGGGCACCCTGCGGGAGAGGAGCAAGGGGACCGGTCAGTTTTTGGTCCGGGCCGAGCGCTGGGCTTGAGAAGCACCGAGAAGCAGCCAAGGGCTTGGAGGGCCGGGCAGGGGCCGCGTTGACCCTGCCTGCAAGGGGCCCTGCGCTGGGCAGCCCCGGCTCTCCTTCCCTGGGAGCTGTTTACCCTCCGGGTCGCAGGGCCAGGAGGCAGGCGAAAGCCAAGCGGTGGGTGGCCAGGAGTGCCCGAGGGTCAGTCAAGGGCCGAGGAGGCTGGATCCACACAGACGCAGGAGGGACGTGGGGAAGGCCTGATGCCAAGGCCCAGCTCTCCACGTGCCTCTACCCTGCAGCCAAAGCGGTGGGCTCTCGGCTGGGAAGCTGCCCTCAGGAGCAACAGCCTCCTAGAAGGGAGGGTTGCAAGGGACCTTGGAGAGCAACTAGTCCACCCCCTGCCCAGCTTGGCAACATCCCCCACAGAGGACCCTCTTAAGGCACCTGCAGCAAAGAAGAGCACCCCCACCTCAGCACATGAGGAGCAGAAAGACCGGGAAGCAGGGAGGGAGCAGATAACAGAAACCAGGACCGTAAATAATTCCTGACCTTGTTGAAAAAGGCAGTCAGACCTGATCTGCCCTCCCTAAAGCCCTGAGACCGCTTTGGGTCCGTCCATCAAGCTGTACGCTTTGAAACGTTCCTTAATCCTCGGGACTAACAAGGCCCTTCTTTAATAGCTCCCTCGAGAGAGGATGTGGGGAGGACCCACCTTTGGGGCAGAGAAGCACTTGACCCAAAGGCAGGCCTTGAGCAGCAAAGGTCGGTCTCCTTGTAAATGCAGCCCCCTCCCCAATTATGATTCTGGGGAGGGGGGTTGTTGGAAACTCCTCTTTGGTAGAACAGTCACCTGGACCCCGCTCGCATACCCCCCCGCCGCGCCCCCCCCCCCAGCACTTACTGCAGCTTGAGCTTCTCTGCCAGCAGGTCGCTGCCCTCCACCTGCAGGATGCAGTCCCTCAGCTCCTCATCCAGGGGGTTGGTGAAGCTGGCTTCCACTTTCGTCACCTGCCCCACCTTGGCCTGGTCCAGCACCTGCCCCAGAGCAGAGACCCCCGTGAGCCCAGCCTCCCTGAAGGCCTGGCAGGACCCCAGGAGCCACAGAGACGTAGCGCCCCCCCCCCTTTCTGGCTGAAGCCTGGTTTGGCCGCTGCCCAGCCGGAGGGGGCTGTTGCCAAAGGCCCTCCCCCCGCGGAGCCAGCCCACCTTTATGGTAATGGAGGGGTTATCCAGAGTGATGTCTCTTTCCACGACGGTGTCGTGCCCCTCTTCCAGCTGGCACAAGGCAGTGGCACGGAGCATATTGTCTGCGGTGAGGTGCTGCTCGTACTCGGCATAGGAAATCTTGATAGGAAAGGCTTTCTCTGGAAGGAGAGATCCGGCCGCATCTGTCTCTCAGCTGGACCCGGCTGGGGGCTGGGGGCCCCTCCCTCCCCAGGGCCCCCCTGCTGCTGAGCAAGCCCACGCGCAGGTGCGCCCCAGAGCTTCTCTCTGAAAGGAGCGCTCTGGGTGTGGGTGTTTGTGAGTGGGTGCGTGTCTCTGTTTGTGTGTGTGTGTGTGTGCCACCTCTGTGCTGACTAAAGCCGCCACAAGGCGGCTGCTGGGATGGGGCGGGTGAGGACTCCCTGAAGCTGCTCTGGGAGGGTTTAGCCGTTCAGGGCAAAAATCCTTTTTTTTTTTCCTGCTGCATTTCAAAGGATCTTCCCTTCCGGGTGAGGCTTGGCACGTTTCTCCTTCCGGGCAGAAGGGATGCTTGGCTGCCCACCTACAGGAGAGGGGCACCGAGGGCAGCCCTCCATCTCAAGCCCAGCAGGCGCCAACCTTTCAGACTGAGACCTTCCCTCCTCCCCCCCCCGGACACTCTTTGCGCACCTGGAGCCTCTGTGGGCCCAGGGCAGCCGCCTGCCAAAAGGAGGAAGGCCGGACCCAGGAAGGCTGATGCCCCCCCCCGTGAACATCCTGCAGCTCTCAAGCTCTGGTGTCATTTTTTTTGGCACCTGCACACCTGCTCACAACTGCAGGTGGTGGACAAACCCCCGCAGTCCACCTCATTGTGGCCCTCAGGGGGTGGGGCAGGCCAAGGCACAAAGGCAGAGGGAAAGAGCGCCGTGCCAGTCCCAGTCCCGGCTGGCAGGCAGGCTGCTTCCCTTCTGGCCGTGGGCCGGATGCCAACCAAGCACCTGCTGCCAGCTCTCAAAGGCCGTGGCAGGGAATCAGAGGCCTCTGGCCACCTTGCTAACGCACACGGTTTGTGCCCACGCCCCTCTGTTCTCCCAGTGCATTACAGGGGTGGGGGGGCGGCAGGGGGGAGGTCACGTGCGGGCTGAACCCTAACCCTGCAGCTCGGGGAGGGGGGGTCAAGCCTGCTGCTCTCCCTGGGGCAGGCGAGGCTTACCTTCTTTGGGGCCAAGGTCCACCTTGAGGCTGTTCTTCCAGACCTTGCGGATCAGCTTCCCGGTGTAAATGATGGACCAGGCGGTCATGTTGGCTGTCAGCTGCTTCTGCTTCGAAGCCAGGTTGGTCAGCTGCAAGACCAAGCTGACGTCCTTGCCGACCTCGGGGATGCCCTGCAGCTTGAACTTCCCGGAGATCTGCTTCTCTGCCTCGGGCAGCATGGCAGACGTGGGCGAGAGGAGGTCCAGGTTCAGCTTGCCCCGAGCCTTCCGGAAGATTTCCCTCTCCTTGGCCGAGCCTGAGAGGGAACCACAGCGGGGGGGAGGGGGGAAGGCATCAGGAGAGGCCACGTTTTGCCCAGAGGCCCTGATTTCTGGAGGTCTGAGCCACCCAGCCCCCTGCCTGGCCCCCGGGAGGAAGGGGGGCCGAGGATCCCTTGTTCCCGGGTGGGGCAAGGCGTCTTTGGCTCCTGCCCTGGCCGCTCTGGCCAGCTTCCCGGGAGCCACAGCCAAGCGCGCCCGGGAGGGTTTCGCTCTGTGGTTGCTTCTGCTGCCACTGGCTCGGTTTTGGCTTGGCCACCGGCCCTTCGTCAGGTTTTGCCCTTCACTGGCAAAACCCACAATGCAAAGATTTGGTGACTCACCGAGAGCATTAATCACTCTTTAAATTACCCATTCTTTACTAATTACTCTGTGTAAGCCACCCAGAGTTGTCTCGTCAATGAGGGGTGCAGCATACAAATGTAATAAATAAACGAACAGATTGCAGTAGGGGTGACGTCAATGCCCGGCATTAATCGTGCAGCCTTCGCCCCCCCCCAGATTCAGCCCCCAATTTCTGCAAAGCTGGAAAGGAAATGCCCGTTTCCTCAGTCTTACCTTCTGGGTATTTATAGTTGCCTGTGACATCCTGGCGGGCGTAGCTGCCCACACGTTTTGTGCTGGTGTTCTGGCCAATGGATTGGGTCTCTGAGTAAATCAGTTTTTTTTCTCCGGTGCTGGAGTTATAGGCCCAGGTGAAACGGTCAGCGTTGACCTCGCTAAAGACAAACGGGCAGTCGTACACCAGGTCCACATCTCCCTCCTTGATGGCCGTCAAGGAAGTCGGTCCACACTGGAAGATGCCTGGGGGAAGGAGGGAGGGAGGGAGGAGTTAGGGGGAGGGAGGGATGCCCACAGTGGAGCTGGGCAGCAGGAAACCCCACAGCCACTCGGGGGGGGGGCGGGGGGCCTCTGGTGCCCCAGGGTGGACGCTGCTGGCTCCTAGCTTAGCTGTCTTGGTCATGGAACCGCTTCTCCTTACAGGGGTGAGCATATGCAGTAGGGGAGAAGGATCGGTTCTCTGCGGTCCCTCGGTTCTCAACCTTTCACAAAGATTAAGCCGCTCGATTCTGCCTTTGCAAGGATCCTTCAAGACTTGAGGAGATGAGCGGCCAGAGAAAGAGAATAAATGAATAACACAAAGCTCTGTTCTAGGTGTAGCCAGGATGTCACCCTGGGCCGGTCAGAGGGGAGCATCACCCCCCCAGGAGGCCTTCTGCAACTTCACAGAGTAAGGAAGCACAATAGGAGAACTTAGTGCCACAGCATGTTGGCTCGTTATTTGGGCAGACTAGAAAACTAGTGGGGGGGGGAGTCCCACAGACTGATCCATTGGCCCATCCCCCCCCCTTGGCCAGACCTGCTACCCCAAGCCCTCCTTCTAGGACACTCAAAGTCTGGGGGGGGGGAAGTGGGTCCTGCTCCCACCTAACCCTAACCCTTCTGTCAACCTGCAGGTGAGGCGAGGCGAGAGCAACCTCTACCCCTTGCTGCTACCTTGTGCGAGGGGTTGGACTAGAAGACCTCCGAGGCCCCTTCCAGCCCTGGGATTTGAGCATTCCTTGCTGGTGGCCCCGCCCTGCATGAGAGAGCCAGAGGGGCAATTCTCCCACCAGAAGCCCCCCCCCCGTACCTGAGCTCCTCTCCTGCGGAGTAGCGTCCAAGATTTGCCAGCCGTTGTAGGTGGCCCCAAGGTCGGATCTGGCAAACCAGCCTTCGTTCCACACGTGGAAGTTCCTGCAAGCGGGAGGGAGGGAGGGAGGGAGGGAGAGAGAAAGAGGGAGAGGGAGGGAGAGGGAGAGAGAGGGAGCGAGAGAGGGAGAGAGAAAGAGGGAGAGAGAGGGAGAGGGAGGGAGAGGGAGCNGGGAGAGGGAGAGAGGGAGGGAGGGGGGGAGAGAAAGAGGGAGGGGGGGGAGAGGGGGAGAGAGTGAGAGACGGCCTACTTGCAGGAGATGAGCGCAGACACACACCCCTCCACGCTCCCCCCCCCCATTTCTCCCAAGGGGCAGGAGGGGCTCTCGGCTGCTTCCCCCCATAGGGATGGCCAGCCCCTAACTGGAGCTTTCTTTGCCAGGCGCAGAAATCAGGACAAGAGAAGGAAAGGAAGTTTGTTGGGGGCAAGGAAGTGGGGGGGGGCGTGGGTGGAGAGAAGTGAGGAAAAGGGGTGTGTGGCATGCCCAGGTTGCTTCCACACAGACGAAAGACCCTCCTCCCCTCCCCACCCCCAGGGACAAAGGATGGCCTGAAAGGGGAGGGCTCCCTCTCCCTCTCCCTCCTCCTTCTACTGCCACCTAGTGGCCATTCTGTCTGGAGTGGGAGCCTCGCCTCCTTCCCACGGCCTGACTGCACAGTTGATGAGAGGAGGAGGGCAGGTGTGCTCTGGGGATACCTGTGCTAGGACAGGGGGGAGGGGAGGGGGGCCCTGGAAAGCCCTCATAAGAAAATGGCTCCAGGTCGCTCTATTCCGAGTGTGTCCCCGATGCCTGCTGCAGAAAGCGTGACCTTTACGCACCGCAGACCCCTACCATGTCACCCTATCACTGCTTACTGCCAGATGTTCCCACCCCATGCCTTGCTTAGTTGTGCAAAAGGGCTTGCCCCCCCCATGCCTGCCCCACGCCTGGAAAGCAGGTTGCCACCCGTTGCAGAGAGAGCCAGGTGCCCCTCCCTCTTCCAGCGCTGCCCCCGGGTGGGAAAGAGGCCGCGAGGGGAGGCGGGCGGCTGGCAGATGAGGCCGAGAGGGGGTCTCCCCTGGCATCTGTGGCTGCCTGGGGCCTGGAAATGAGAGGGGGGCGCCCAGAGGGCGGGGGCAATTACCAGACGCTGTCGGAGGCCATGTTCAGAGGGTTCCCCTGGAGGTCGTAGTAGACGTCGATCGTCAGGGTCATGTCCGTGTCGTGGGCAGAGTTGAAGTTGCTGATGGGTCGGCTGGGGATTCCCAGGCACCGGAGGACTGTGGGCAGAAGGAGGGAGGCACGATGGAGACCGTCCCCACGGCAGGCACGCCTCTCGGGCAGCCTCTGCGGAGGCCGAACTGGGCGCCAGGGCCTCCTTGCCAGGGAGCAGAGCCTGGGCAGAGGACGGGCTCCTCGCTACAGCCACTCGGCTTCCTTTCCCAGAAGCTCGGATTTCTTGGCCCCAGAGTTAGAAGGGGTGGACCTGTGGATGGACTGGCCAGGGCTATGGGGGGAGGAGGAGGAGGCCAACCTGGTGAGGAAGGAGGAAGGATGGCCCGGCATTCCCACTGCATTGCCAGTGCCCCCCCTGCCTGGGCATCAGAAGAAGTAAACTGGGCACCCTCGTGGCTGGCAGGAGGCAGCCTTCCCCCAGTCCCTCTTCACGCCCTCTCTGGACATGGCCTCCTGCCCGTCTCCTGCCCAGCTCCTCTCCCTTTTCCCGTCAGGTCAGGCCCGGGTCCCATTTTGCACCTTCTCTCCGTGAGACGGGCCAGACCCGGAGTTATAGGTTTTCCACAGCAATGCCCGCCTGCCGCACATCCCGAAAGGGTGTGTGTGTGTGACAGAGAGGCGGAACCAGCAGCTCTTTCTGCCCCCACCTGGATTGCTAGTGGGGGAAAGCTCCGCTGCCCTTCCCCCTCCCGAGGCAGACCAGAGGGGTCCGCAGGATCATGGGGCAGATTCAGCTCTTCCAGACCACCCCGTGTCTGAGGGCAGCACACGCGGGGCCTTTCTGCCGCCTCAGATCCAGCATCCCCCAGGAGAGTCTCTCCTGCCCTTGCTGAGAAGGCCTACCTGTGTTCAGAACCCCTGCAAAGACCCAGCACTGCCCGTAGCGGACGGGCCTGAAGCCAGAGCTCTTCCATCTGCGCAAGATGTCCACGCTGCCCGTCCAGCTGCTGGGGCTCTCCCCCCCGGCGTAATTCCCATCCCACCTTCCCTGCAAGACGCCGTTGTCATCGTTGCTGTTCACCTGGGGGAAAACCAAGAGAAGCCGCCGTGGGGAAGCCGCTCTGCCCCACCAGCTGTGTCGGTTGCCCCACCAGCTGCGGGGTGCCCTTCGCGGCACAGGGCTGGGTTGTTCAGAAGACTGACCAGCCACCTCCGATCTCCTGCAAGATCCGTCAGAGGAGGCGTACCCCGGGCCCTGTCTGTCAAGGGGAGTTATCTGGCAGGGCTCTGAATATTTATTTCACTTAGGGTAATTACATGGACACGCTGCCATCTTGCTATCCAAAGAGAGGTGCCATCCTCCCAAAGATGAACCTTGCCCTGATCCAGCTGCTCTTCCAGGCTCAAAGCCCTGGTCCCTTAAGGCCTGGTCACTGGGCCTGGGGGTCAGGAGGGGGTTGACCCCTCCCATCGGCTAGGTTGATGGTTACAGATGGATCTGTTTTTACCCAGCTGCTATTTTATGTGCAAGGCCTTTTTTTTTTTTTTTGTCTTTCTGACTTTCCTATATTTCTCAAATATTCATTGCTACCCTAAGACATTAACTTCTGACAGGCAGCCGTATCAATTGAGTAAACAAGGAAACGGATAGAGTGTGAGTGGAATATAATATGGAATGGAATGGAGTGGAGTGGAACGGAATATAATATGGAATGGAATGGAATGGAGTGGAGTGGAACGGAATAGAACAGAATTTGGAGAGAATAGAACAGAACAGAATAGAATAGAAAAGAATAGAAAAAAATATGGAATGAAATAGAATAGAGTGGAGTGGAGTGGAGTGGAGTGGAATGGAACAGAATAGAACAGAATAGAACAGAATTTGGAAATAACAGAATAGAACAGAACAGAATAGAAAAAAATAGAAAATGTGGAATGAAATAGAAAAGAGTGGGAGTGGAATAGAATATAGAATGGAATGGAATGGAATGGAGTGGAACAGAATAGAACAGAATTTGGAAAGAAGAATAGAATAGAATAGAATAGAATAGAATAGAATAGAATAGAATAGAATAGAATAGAAGATGGAAGGGACCTTGGAGGTCTTCTAGTCCAGCCCCCTGCTCAAGCAGAAGACCCCATACCATCTCAGACAGGTGGCTGTCCAGTCTCTCCTTAAAAGCCTCCAAGGATGGAGCACTCACCATTTCTGAAGCAAACTCTTCTCTGGTACAACCAGGGCGGGACTCGTGCAGTGGAAACCTGACAGGTGATCCTCCCGAAGGTTGAAGGTCCACCTGACACTGGGATGTTTCGGCCTCCCTTGGCCGGCATTGGGGGCTGGTGACGGGGGGGGGCAGGCTCAAAGAAGCCCCGCTCACCCCCTCCCCGAGGGAGTGTGAGAGACCCTGGGAGGCTGACCTCGTCCTCTCTGCATTCCCCCAGGCAGGGGGTGTCCCCGGGGGCAGATTCAGGAATCGACCAGCGTGGAGCTCCACACGTATTCCAAGGAGGCCCAGACAGGCAGAGCACCAATACGTGGGCCCACACCGCTGGCTAAGCAGGGCCGTGGCTGGGTTCACAGGGGGATTGTTTTCAGGGCGGAAAATAGAGGGGAGGGGGCTCCCCTGGAGGTGCAGTTCAATACCAAGCCAGGTCCCCTGGATCTGAAGGTGGGATCTGAGCTGACCCTGAGCAGCCAAGTAAGGGATCCTGGCATCCAGCTGGGGCATCCCCAATTCAGCCTCTGAAGATGCCAGCCGATGGCTTTGAATGAGGCCGCCAGAGGGCCTGTGGGCCAGATGTTTCCTTCGCTTTGGGGGCAAAGGGTATCCTAAGTTGGCACAACATATCCATGGTATTCCGCTAAAATTCCAGTTGGAGAAACTGGGAGACGGGGGGAGGGGGAGGGGGGAGGGCTGAGCCTCTGCAAAGCATCCAGTTTGCCCCTCACCTCCAAAAGGAGGCATCGTTTTTGCCCCGTCCCTTGGGCTACGGGGGGGGGTTAGGGTTAGGGATCTCGGCTGGATGCAAGCACGTTCATACCATGGCGCTGAGCACCCTCCCAACGTATTTGGGGTCATTCCGGCGACGCAGATCAGCTGTTGGATCCTTGCGGTAGCTTAAGCTCCGGTCCATAATCTCAAGAGAAATTTCCAGAATCCCATCTTGGAACTGTTGGCAGAAGAGGCTATCAGGCAGGCAATTATCCCCCTTCCCACGTGCGTGCCCATGTGCAGACACACACACGCACGCACACACGCACGCACACACACAATTAATTAGTGGCAACAGTGGTGGCAGTGGCTTGGCTCACCACCAGCTGATTCCTGGGGTGGGGAAGGTCTTCTGGGACCACCCTCCGGTGCCACCAGGAAGGAGTTCCAGTCTTCTGAGGGCCTGGCTTTGATGGGCAGGGCTCTCACTTCAGCTGGGCCTTCCTTTGGGTGTGTTTGTGGGGGGCGGCATATTTGTCAGAAATTCCCCTGAATCCTCTGAAGGCCGCCTGGGGGGGGATCCGTTCCTCTGTCACCCAAGCCTGCTTCTCTCTCCCCTGCCAGCTCTCTGAGTGGAGACCTTGGGATGGTGTGGGGAGGGTCCTTCCGGGTGGCTAGGGGTGGGGGTCCTTTCTTCCTAGTCGGGGGGGGGAGGGCTTAGGGGGAAGCTGCTGCAAGACCCCCAGAGGCAGCTGGCCAGAGGGGGCGCCAGGAGGCCTGTGGGGAGGGCAGCCAGTGCAGGAGGACCGACCAAGCCAGGGAAGGTAATCCATGGGCATCATTCAAGAAAGGATTTCAGGATCCCGTCTGAATTTGCAGTTGAATGACACGTCCTTTCTCTTTACCTGGCCAAAGTTCCACCCGAACTGAGAGATGCGATTCGCGCTCCCCGCAAAGAGAACCCCAAACTCCGAGAGGACGTATTCCTGACGTTGCGCGTTGTCGGCCATGAACACTTCATCCTCTGAAAGCCAAGCGTCAGGCAGACACAGTGAGGGGGGGGGCGGCGGGGAGGCTTTCTCCCCCAGGGAGCAGGTGGGTGCTGAGGACCCTTCGGATAGCACCCCAAACCCTGCCCCAAACGGCCCCAACGCCCGCCCCCTTGAGAAGGAGGCGGGACCCGGGCATTCAGGGGGTGCCCGAGGCCGCCGGGAGACCGAGCGGGCAGCCCCCCCTCCGTTCTCTTGTAAAGCGGGACGGGCCGAGAACGCCCCACCTTTGCCGGGCCCGCTAGAGAAGAGGCTGCCCCGCGCCCAGGCCCCTCGGGCTGGCGGAGCTCTCGCCCTCTCGGCCCTGGCCGGGCGGCTCGCGGCTACCTGTCAGCCAAGGGTTGAAGAGCACCACGAAAGTGCCCAGGGGGGAGACGCCGGAGCCGGTCTTCGTGCCCAGCCGGTAGCGCCCGATGGCGGCGTTCGCTGGGCAGCTGATGGAGTAGGAGCCGGCGGTCTCCACCGCGCTCCAGGAGCCTCGGCCGGCGGCGCCGGACACGCCGAAGTCCACGCGGGTCTTGGCCTGCAGGGCGGCCGTCGAGCCTGGCGGGAGGGAAAGCGGCCGCAGCTCAGGGCAGGCAGCGGGCGGGAGGGGGCTCCCCCTGGTGGCGGCAGCAGCTGCTGGTGCTGCACCCGGCGCTCAGCCGGGCAGCGCGGATCCCGCCGAGGGCGGCTGCTGACGCTGCGGCGGCGGGGGCGGCGGGGGCGGTCCGGGCGCCCTGCAGAGCCTGAGACGGACTCGCCTGGCTGGGCAGGCGCCCCCCGGAAGCCCCCGTCGGCCTGGTGTGGGGGGACGCTGAGGGGGAAGCGCCTGTCTGGGCAGAGCCGGAAAAAGAGGAGCCCCCCCCTACCTCTGTCCACGGAGAAGATGAGGCCGGTGGCTGGCGGAGGCGACTTCAGCGTGACCTTAAAGCCCTGGCCCCGCCGCACCACCAGCTCGTCGCCAGGGTAGGAGTTGGTGTGGTGCTCCTGGGCGTTCTCGCTTCGCCTCCAGTCGATGTTCCTTGACGCTGTCAAGAAGGAGAGAGACGACTGCGACTGCGGCTTCCCCCTTCCCAGAAGGGCCACCGTTGGGGCGGAAGGGGGGGTCAACCGGGGGCCGAGCTAGCCACCGCTCTGGTCCCGTGTGAGGGTTTTGCAGCACCCCGGTCACAGGACTGGGGGTCAAGCCCCCCCCCCCAAGTCCCTCCGGAAGAATCAGAGCCTCAGTTGCTTAGGGGCTTGCGTGAACCCCGAGGATCCTGGCTGCCCGAGCCTTCCGTGGGGTAGCAGGAGCCCCACGGACCTTGCTCTGGGCACTGCTGGCAATCTGATCTGGGTCTCCCTTACAGCTTTGCTGATGCTCAGGATGGTTGTGGAGAAATCCTGGCAGGGGAGAGGCAGGCAGTGGCCCAAAAGCGAATCTGGAGAAGGGGCAGCGCTCAGTGCCGCAGGAGCCCCGAAGGGCCACACAGGAGCCCGGGCCATTCTTGGGCCAGCCGTGGAAGAGAAACACCATACCAGGCAGGAGGAGGAGGAGGAGGAGGAAGAGGGGGAGAAGGAGGAGGGAGAGGAGGAGGAGGAGGGGGAGGAGGAGGGGGAGAAGGAGGAGGGAGAGGAGGAGGAGGAGGGAGAGAAGGAGGGGGAGAAGGAGGAGGGAGAGGAGGAGGAGGAGG